TATAAACCCATTAGAAAAATGGCCAGCAGCCACCAAAAGCAGACATTTTTTTGTTTCTTTTGCCGCCTTCCTGAAACAAATGGTGCAAACCTTCAAAAATCTCAGTTTGAATGCAGATTTGAATTCTTCTACTTTGACAAAGCTTGTCAAAAGTAAAGTCCCACAAGATTTGCTTCTTAAATGGACGGAATACATCGGGCGAAACGACATACAGGACACAGATGTTCAACATTTACAAATTTGGCTAGAAGTGCATGCGAAAACCTACGACAAACTTCACAATCAATTTCCATCCTTCAACTATGCAGAACCGTAACTATTTAGCAGCAATTCCCTAGCGCCCTGTTGCTCAAACGTTACATCAAGCAATCCACAGGCTTCCAAAACAATTGGACCTGAGAGTTTCAATCAATACAGAACACAGCGCAAGCAATGCTCTTCTTGTAAGAACGAACATAACATCACAGTACAGTTCTTCTACGCCACCTCAACGCTACAACATCGTAAAACAACTTGAACTTTGTATCAACTGCTTAAGCCTTCATCACCTCCGAACTACTTGTGTCTCAAACAACCGTTGTTATGAGTGCAACGGATTTCATCACACAAGCCTTTACGACCCAAACAAGTTTAAAAAATCAACTTTCGTTGTCAACACCCATCATGACTTGTTTCACAATACTATGCACCCAACCTTACAATAATATGATGCCGAGCACTCTAACAAATCTGAACATCAGCTATCAAAAACAGAGATGTCATCGCAACAAAGCAAAGACGCAGTATGCGCAGAAAATCAGGGAGGATTCACTGCCTGTGAGTTTTTGAGTTTTTGTTCAGAATAACCTCAATGGTTTGAACAACTACAACTAATACCGGTCTCATTCTCCCATGGTGAAACGAGCAGAACTACTTATGCATTAATTGACCACGGGAGCCAATTTAGCTTCATCGTTGATGAAGTAGCAGATAAACTACAAATTCCATCTATAGAACACACATCAATGTCTCTTCGTTATATCGACATTGATCATGAAATGCCAGTTGCAAAGGTTGATAATGCTGTTCACATCTCACCGCATGACAAACCGGATGTTAAGTTCTCAATGAATAACTTGTACAAAACTCCTTGCTTAAACATACCTGCGGCAGATCTGTTTAATTTGAACGAGATTTGCAGCTCTACCGACACACTTCGGCATAATCATTTTCCACAACTCGATCATGGGAAGATTGGAGCTTTGCTTGGTGTAAACTCATTCTTGTTTACATATCCTCTACACGTTATTGAAGGAAACAACTTTATACCTTCAGCTGTACAGACAAAACTTGGATGGACATTAGCCAGCGAATACCAACTGAAAAAAATAGACAACAGCGACACTCATTCAAAACAAAACATCGGCCCTTTGTCTTCCACGTTTCTCGCAACAAAACAACAGAGCAACCTCTGGACTTCCTTGTACAGCAATTTCGGAAAATCGAGGAAAACGGAATCACTACACTCAACAAAAACTAAAGCAGCGACGACAAGCTTGCTCTCCAAATCTTGGATAACACGACAAGACTTGTAAATGGACGATACGAAATAGGGCTTCCCTGGAAACCCAACTCAAGTCTCAGCAACAACTACTGCGTAGCTCTGAAACAATTGCAATCCTTGCAGAAAAGACTCGGAAAAAACACCGATCTACAAAATTTATACGAAAAGACGCTAGTTACGGACCTGGAAAAGTCTTACGCGCAGCCAGCAGTTTTTACCAAAGAAGTACCTTCTAGATTGTGGTATCTGCCTCACCACGAAGTCGTAAACCCTAACAAGCCGGGAAAGGTAAGGCGTGTCTCAAATGCTGCCTCCAAATTCAAAGGCCAAACTCTAAATTATAATCTGCTAACATGCCCAGATTTGCTCGAAAATCTTACTGGAGTCCTTCTGCGGTTTCGTAAGTTTGGTATTGGGACACTAGCTGACATTGAAGGAATGTTTATGCAAATAAGCATAAAAGCAGAAGACCGTTCCTCGCTACGTTTTCTCTGGGATCACAAAAATGTTATAAGACGTTACCTGTTTTCAAGACTCATCTTTGGAGCAACTTGCTCTCCATTTTGTGCTATCTACGTTCTACAGAAATGTGCCAAAGACAACATCGTGAATTTTCCGCTTGCCTTTGAATCCGTCAAAACAAACTTTTACATGGACGAGGTCATTCACTCAGCGTCTTCACCCAACGACGCATTGGAGTCCGCTTTCCAGACAAAAGCAGCGCTACAACAAGGCGGATTCAGACTAACCAAGTTTGAATCGAACAGCACCAAGGTACTGAACGGTTTACCAGCCTCAGAAAAAGAAACACCTAAGCCAACAACTAGAGTTCTATGACAAAAAAGGAATTTGACAAATGACGAACTATACATGGAGCCTCCAAAGGCAATTAGTGGGGATGCCCACGAATACACACAACCCAAATGTTTCAGCCTTGTGTCCTCAATTTTTGATCCTTTGGGAATATTAGCACCAGTAACCATTTTGTTCAAAGCAATTTTGCAATCAACTTGGAAATTAGGCAGTTCTTGGGACTCATTACTGCCCGCTAACAGTCAGAAAGAACTACAAAAGCTGCTAAACCTCTTTGTGTCAATGAAACCAATCAGTCTTCCCCGAACACTTTTCAAAAGGCAATTAACAACACGGGATAATGTTCAACTTCATACGTTCACGGATGCGTCCTTGATAGGAATGTCAGCAGTCGTATACGTGAGAGTCGAAGATCAACCAGAAAACCAATTGGCAACTCACTATGTAATAGGTAAGAACAAAGTAGCTCCAATCAAGCAGCTGAGTATTCCAAAATTAGAGCTTGAAGCAGCAATTATTGGATTTCGACTAGTTGCATTTGCTAAAGTACAACTTCAGCTTAACGTCGATCCTGACGTACATATGTGGACAGACAGTCAATTTTTAATTGATTGGATCAACTCGAAGAAAAAACAAAAAATATTTGTGTCAAATCGTCTAGCCGAAATAAACGCTACTCAAGAAAACAATAACTGGCATCATATACCGACTCATCTGAACCCTGCTGATCACGGCACTAGAAGATTAAAACCTATAGATGTCGAATCAAAATGGTTAGCAGCCCCATCCTTCCTGATGTCACAATCATCTGAATGGCCACAGAAGTCTTCTGTATTAGAAACTAAAAGCGTCTCAATATTCGCCTCAGTGTGTGCATCACAAAAACCGTTTTCAGGTCCTTCAGTCTTTGACATCTGTCGTTTTTCCTCGTGGAATAAACTTTTGTTGACCATCGCCGCAGTTTTCAGTTTTTTCACAAAACTGAGCTCATGATCGGCAAAAGACCAAGACTTTTACGGAAAACATCGAAAAGAACGACAGCAATCAACTAGTAACGATATGGAACGAGCGAGAAATTATATCATCATATCAGCACAGCGAGAATCTTTCAGTGAAACGATCGAACATCTACAACAGAAGCGGCGCCTGGAAGCGAAGAACAAACTGATTAAATTCAATCAATACCTTGAACAAAAGCATATGCTTCATTCGCGCAGCAGGCTCGAATTTGCCCCAACAATGGAGCTTGAATCACGTCACCCGCTGATTCTATTAGCAACTCATCCAAGAGTTAAACTATATCTACAGCCTGCACACCATATTTGCATGCATCAAGGACAAGAGTTCGTCAATTCTTTCGTGCAGAAGCGCTACCACATCATTGGGATACGACAAGCTCTTCGTTCAATCGCTCATCATTGTTTCTTGTGTCGACGATACAAAGCAGACAACCTCCAGCCAATCATGGCACCCTTACCACTGAAGCAATATTCCGACGAAAATCATCTTTTCCCGTTCACTAATGCTGGAGTAGACTTTTTTGACCCCTTCTACATTGAAAACAAAACAGATATTGAGAAACCTTACGGAATAATTTTTACTTGTTTTGCAACTAGAGCTGTTCATTTCGAAAACTGTCCAAATCTGAACTGATTCACTTATGAATGCAACAGGTCGGTTTACAGCTAGACGGGGAACTCCAAAAACGCTCACCAGTGATAACGGAAAAACGTTTGTTGGAGCCTCTAAAGAACTAAAAGACGCCATAAAAATGGCTGACAATAGAGCCTGCTCTTTCAAGCTTCAACGGCAAAACATCCAGTGGTTCTTCAACCCGCCATATGGCCCTCATTTCGGTAGCGCTTGGGAACGCTTGATTCAGATTGCCAAGAGAACAATCCTCATCGTTCTTGGATCGCGAAAACTCACACTTGATGTTTTTCAGACAATTTTAACCGACACCGAAATGATACTGAATTCGAGACCCTTGACAATTGTAACTGATTACCCAGAAAATGACGAGCCACTGACACCAAATCACTTTCTCATTCAACGACCTTTCAGCAGCCTTTCACCAGGAGTAATCGACGACAGCATGCCCTTAACCTACACTAAATGGACCCACGTTCAACAGATGATGAACCACCTGTGGAAGCGGTTGAAGAATGAGTACCTACCTTCACTAGTGAAACGCCCCAAGTGGAACGAAATGCAACCACCATTGAAGGTTGGAGACATAGTGTGGGTACTCAAAGACCTCACGCCGCAAGGTATTTGGCCGATTGGACGTGTGGTGGAGGAACATCCAGGAAGAGATGGCACAACACGAGTGGTGACCGTGAGAACGGCTTACGGCACTCTCAACCGCCCCGCTACCGCTCTTGTTAAGGTTTTTTGATTTTTTTTGCAACGCCTTTTGCGCCGTTCCAGACAATTCAGGGCCCCGGGAGTATGTTGCCGAAGCAACTACATTTTCCCAATCTTTATAAATCAAAAGTCACTGTGATCAAACATTTGTAATCTCTGTGATATAAACACTCACGAAACAAACCAGAACTAAGAAAGTTGACTCTTGGAGCCAGGTTTTGACCTAAAGTGACATGTCAACTACACCTTGCATGTCAATTTACCTCTTCCCCCACAGGTGTATGCGGTCAAGATAATGGAAAAGGCAAAGGTGATGAAGCAGAAGCAACTTGATCACACCATGAATGAGAAGAGGATCCTGGCCTCCATCTCTTTCCCATTCATCGTCAAACAGGCATTCGCTTTCAAGGTCAGTCCTAGTTGACTAGTTGAAGTGAGATCAATTCAGTTTGTCTCTTAATTGATATTTCAGGTCACCTTCATAATTTTTTGGTCGCTTTTCAAGTCGTTGAAAAAAGCAAGTCGACTTAGAAATATTTTTTGAAGTAAGGTATTTAAAATCACTCAACTACCCATTTTAGATCTCAAAAATTAATCTTTTTTTCAAACAAAAGGACTTGAATTTTTCTATTTGATCTGAATTCGGTCATGAAATGTATCACTAGATTGGTAATAATAGATGGGTAGCCATTTAATGTTTTACGCATGTTGTTGGCTTTTTCGTGGACAAGTGGTTCTAAAGCGAAAAGATTATAACGACCCTCAACTTTTGACCCCTTTGATGACTCTTACAGGACAACACGTACATCTACATTGCGCTGGAGTTTGTATCTGGCGGAGAGATGTTTCATCATCTCAGAAATGCTGGACGATTCGGGTTAGCACAACAAATATATTGAGAAGCCGTACAATGAAATACTTATTGTTTGACGAAAACTTCGTTGTCAATTGTTTTTTTTATGCTAAACTATGAATGGCAGACACTGTCGCTCAAGTGATGCAATACGAGCAAGCTACATGAATTTGGTAAAAATAGGTTATGCTTATCCCAGTAAAAATTTTGTTTCCAGGGAAATGAGAACGAGATTCTACGCGTCACAAGTGCTACTAGCGTTTGAGTACATGCACTATCTGGACCTAATCCACCGTGATCTGAAACCAGAGAATCTTCTAATTGACCACAAAGGGTATCTGAAGGTCACTGATTTTGGCTTCTGCAAGAAGATCAAAGGAAGGGCCTGGACATTTTGTGGAACTCCTGAATATTTGGCGCCAGAAATCATTCTCAGCAAGGTGAATTTCCAGAATATTTCTAATAGTGGTGGCGTTTTTTTTGCGCGTGCGGTGGTGGGTTGGGGGTAGGTAAGCTTAACAAAAAGCGAGCTTAGAAAACAATTTAAATTTATTTTGCTCCATTAACGTATGCTTACAGAATCTCAGCAACTTTCTTTAGCAATAAATCAAGGTAAAATGTAATTCTGCACACTAAAAAGGTCTATAAAATTTTTTTTACAACCAACAGTTTTTATCAACAAGAAATTCTTTCAAGTTTTAAAAATTATGTCGATCATATGACGACTGAGTTTTATTGATAGCTTGGCTTCATCTGACGATTTTTGTGGCATGTGATTTTTCGTGGAAAAAATTTTAAAAATAAGGAACACCCTCGAATACAAGATCTATTTCCATTTCGTGGACGGAACAATAAAAGTAAGACCGATTCCTTCTTATGCAGGGCTATGGAAAGGCGGTGGACTGGTGGTCGTTTGGGATTCTGATGTTTGAGATGGCCAGTGGACAACCCCCCTTCCAGGCGGAGAAACACATAAAGATGTACGACATGATAGTCTCCGGCAAAGTAGAATACCCGAAACACTTCTCGGCAGAGTTAAAAGACCTCCTTGAAAACTTAATTCAGGCAGGTGCATTTTTCTATGAAGCCATCATTATTGTTTTTAGTTCTCTTTAATTTTAAACAATTGATAGAAATGGGTACGATTCATTGCAAGATTTCCTATGACAACTATTACCAGAAAAATTAGCAAAAAATCTTAAAAATTTTGCATAAAATAAACATAAAAAGGACATTGTATCAGCTAGCGGCTCTTTTTCTTCCTCCCCCCCCTCACATTTTATAAGCCATCAATTTCATAGTATAACCAGAGGGGTATTACAAGGTCAAGTATGAAAACCAAATATGTTTGTCATGGCATAATTAGTCGGCATGTCACTTTTCGTAACAATCGGACAATGCAAACCGAAAAAAAAACGTTTATAAAAAATTGCAGGGGAAAAAAGCCCAGTTAGCGACCTGAGTGATCACTTTTTTGAAATTATTAGTAGTTATTCTTATTTAGTTATGATTAGTGATAATTTTAGGTTGATGTGACGAAGCGGTATGGTGCATTGAGGAATGGAGTTCAAGATATCAAGAACCACAAGTTTTTCGCCCCCGTTGACTACATTGCCACATACCAGAAGAGGGTGAGCTGAGAAATCCGTTAAAACATGCTCTTCTCAATTTTTCTGCAGGAAGCATCAAGAGCCCGCTGATAAAAAATATAGAATTGAACTACAGATTCTTTTGCGAGTAGCAAGAAAATCTAAGCCAAAATTATCATGACAACAGCAGCTGTTTTCGAATTTTTCCGGTAACAATACGGTGATGATTGGAGAAATTGTAAATATTTACTTATCCTGAATTCGGTCATTATTCAGAGATCTAAATTTTTTGCCCAAAACTACAATTGAAATGACACCTTCAGATGAGTTTGATGATCCTCTGGTGATTTGCCCTATATAATTATTATAGTGAAGATTCTTTTTACGTTGATTTTTTGTTCTTCATCTGCCCTAAAACAATTTGATAACCGGCTTCAACTTTCGTATAGAGTCCTACCCTCTGTTGAAAATTTCACTGCACGTTGTCCTGACTGTAGCAGCCACTATTCGTGTTCCGTAAGCTTTCATGAATAAAAAATTTTTGTATGGGTAATTTGAACTTTAATAAAAACACGTAGGGTGGAGTAGTTTAGAGCAAAATGGAATAGGGTAAACTGGTATAGAGAAAAAAATGTCAGAAGGTAGAAAGGCGTTATGGAGTGCAGTGAAAAAAGTTTTCCTGCTACTAAAACATTGTTATGATTAGTTTAATGATTATGATTATTGTGGCAACCATTTGAACAATGTGGAGGAACTTATTTCGAGCCAAAGCAATGGAATAACTTTCGTTACATAAAATTATTGGCCATTTAGGCTAAAAGAATCTTAATTTTAATATAAAGAAAACTAATTGTAGTGCAAAAAATCAGGAAAAGTTTTGGAAATAAATTTGTTTTGTTTTCTTTATTTTTTCATTTTACTTTTGGAAGATGATTGTAGTATTTATGCCTATTTCACTTTTTTGTGCGTATGTATAGTTTTTCAATCACACCATGCAGAAAAAACGGCGCTAGTTTGAAATTTTGAAATCAGCTATCCTTGTTATCATTATTGAGTTATGACCGATGGGTATAACTCATAGAGTAATTTCGGATAGGGTACACCGTCTGCTCGTCACGCTATCTTATTTTCGGCCGGATAGATTCGTGCAACTTCTTAGTCTAATACCGATCCTAATCTTACTCTTATACTATCTAGTCTCAGGTTGTTTAACTAGTCTCTGCTAGGCTCAATAGATCTAGGGTATACTGGTTTATTGCGGTTGCTGAAGTCTTCTTGGAGAGTCAACTAATTTCTAAGTTAAATTCAAATCTCTCTGGTGCTGAAATTACAAGTAATTTCAGCACTTACAAATAAGTGGATTGTTAGTCAGATGGATCATGATTGGTTAATATTAAATACTTTACATTGGTAAAATATCTAATTTATCCAATCATAAAATGTAGTTTAGATCAGGTTCCACCCATCCGGGTTTTACAGAGTTTTTTAGAATAGTCTTTCTGCAATTCAAAGGATGGATGATGGACGTTGGTATTTGGCGAACATCATATTTCTTCTGGGTTCTCTTGTTAGAGAAGTTCCAGGTTCGATCGTTGTGTCATCTCATGACAACGACTGGGTCTTTGCAACAAACTCAAATCTGATTTCAGAATGGTTGGCTATGTCAGGTTTTTCTGTTTCATTAATGAGAACTTCTTTGTGTTTTGATCTTGTCTAGGAATGGCGTGGAGATTGTGCATGGAGGGGATGCCTGGTTACTCGGATCTGTACGTATACTTGAACATCGAGGTGGTCATTGGTCTAGTTCAATGAAGTCCTTTTCTGCGAAGTCAAGTCGTACTCTAAATCCTTTGAGTTGTGATTGTGAGCGGCATATCGATTGTAGTTGGCCATTCTTTCTCGAGTGTAGTGGGGTCGTTTTGTCTTTGGATGTTCGTCCTTAGTGTTGTATTCTGATCTATGTATTGCATAATGTAATTTACATTTTATAAAACTTTTATTAGTTTAATATCTTTTAATTATGATTTTAGTTAGTTGTTTTCACAAAATCTTTTGTTTTAGTTCAGTTATTTTGAAGAGTTACTCACCCTTGAGTAGCTCTTATTAAAAATAGGAGTGTGGTCACAAAGCGTGGATGTAGCGCGGTGGGTTAGGCCGGCTATAGAGCATGCTCAGGACGTCCTTCCTGGTGGGTTAGGCCAGGAGTGGGAGTATGATTGCATGCGGTTTTTGTGAGAGGTCCTGTTATGTGACAACGTTTTATGTTGGGTTTGTTGTGGTTTTTCTTATGTTTTGTTGGTTGTGTCCTTTTTTCAAAAATCAAATTGTTTGTGGTATGGGTTTGTCTTTCGACTTTTTTGTGTTTTATTATTTCTTTCTTAGACTTTATAATAGTCTTCAAAAGAATAAATTATCCAGTTTTAAACTGGGTTAATCCGGTTTGGGTACCGTTGGTTTCCTTTTCTTAGTCATGCTGTTATGCTATGTGTTGTGGTGTTTTGTAAGCTGCATTGGTTAGTTTTGTTTAGTATATAATTCCTTTCCAACCGGGTTAAAGGAAAGTTTGAAACTTGTTATCGTGTGTTAGAGTTGTTGAGTTGTGAAAGCTTGAAACTGAAATTTATTATTTAAACAATTCTTCGTGGGCGAGCTGTGCGAGTTTGGATAGAATTCTTGTGCGAGTGAATGAAAATATCAAAAGGTTAGTACTGCATTTGCTTCTTATTAATTTACTACATAGAATTTTTAATTTTACTGCTAGTTGTTGGGGAAAATTAAGTTACAAATTTTCATCATTTTTAGATTTACTGCTTGTGGGGGAAAAATTTATAAATTAAATTACTGCATTGGTATTATATTTATTTAATTATTTGATGAAAAAAAATTAATAGAGTTTTAAACAGTTTGAAGAAGTTTTCAATTTTTTATTTTCTTTTGTGAATTTTTCAGATGATCGTTGGGTGAAGGCTAAAATTCTAAAGAAAACATGGATAAAGAATGGTGAGTTTCTGATATTTTAATTAGTTAGTAATATGTATATTTCATACTTACCTGTTAGTCGTTGGGGAAGAAACCGTGGGGGAAGATGTCGTGGATGAGATCTGAAGTTGTTAGTAATTTAGCTAAAATGCGGATGATATTTTTAGTTTGAAGTAGTGGCCAAAGCAATTGAAGTGCTTTAATGGTGGTTAGTTCTTCAGTGCCAACTGCAAATTCATAAGGTGTGTTTTGGATTAGATTATATAATTTGTGATTGAATTTAGTGTTATGGATGAATTCTAAAATGGGGATTTCTATAGGTTGTACAAACTCGTGTGGGATAAGGAAGGGTCGGGATTCTTCTGCGTTGAAGGTCTTGGTGATGGGACAAAAAATATACATTTGGGTTATGGGATCATAATTTCGAAGAATACCATGAAGGTTAGTATCTTTAATGCAATATGTGAAGTTAAGAAAGAATGGTGAGGTGTATTTGGAATTGATGAATTGAAAACGATGGTGTGGTTGTCTGGAGGGAGTGTGTAGGTCGAAGTGATTTTGGATAAAACGATAATAAGTAAATGTGTGTGTTTGTTTAGTGCGCAACATAATATCGTGTGAGCAGTGCAAATCTCTTTCATGTGGTGCAAGGAAATGAAAGGTTAGTGAAAATATTTGGAAGCGTTCTTTAAAACTTTCGTAGGCTTGTGTGTCTGTTAGTGCTTCTGAAATAATGTGGTCAAACTTGCGATCGAAGATATTTAGTGTAAATACATATGGTGTTTTAATGAAAAATTTCTCGGTGATTTGTGGGTTAGCGAAGCGATCGTCGTCTAAGAATTGATCTTGGTTAGTTCTGATGATGTTATGATCGTAATATTCTAGTGTAAATTCATTTGCTCGGGGTGCAGTGTGTGTTTTTAGTGATTTTTTATATCCAATGTAAGTAAATTGTCTAGATGTTAGTGGTGTAGTGAGTCGATATAGCATGTCCTTATTTCGTTCTATATCGATGTGAGTGCTAGATAAAGGTAAGCAAAGGGGATTAGTAAAATGATAATATGAGGTCCAAGGAAGGGTAGGCATTAAAACGTGTTCGTCTACAAAGTTACGTGTCTCGTTAGTGTCGTGAGGGGTGTTTAAGGTGTATTGTGGAAATGAGGGTAAGGTGATAGCTAAAAATTCTTTTGTGTTAGTGTGTTTTGGATGGTTGATATATTCACGGGCTGTTCCTGGTTTCGCTGGGAAAGGATGGTTGGGGAACTTTCTTTTAAAAGTGCGGTAAGCTCTATTAGTGCTGAATGAAGATTCAGTAGATGTGGATCATGGTGCTAATGATTCAGTATAAATTGAAGAGGCTGTAGGGGTAGGAGGGTTGGATGAATCTATTGTGGATGAGATTTGGTTTATGGTTGGGATGTCAAGGTGATAGGGTTGTTGTTGTAGGGTAATGAAGTTATCTAGTTCTGGGGAGATTCGGGGGGTATCTGGAGAATGAGATGATTGGTCTGAGTGAAGTGAGGAATAGGTTGGAGTGACTTGGGAAGCATAAGAGGGTGTAGAGTTGGATGGGTCAGGGTTATTTGGTAATATGGGTTGAAAAGGGGGTTGGGAAAAAATTGAGGGGTTGGTGGGAAAATTATTGGATGGAGATGGTTCAGAGTCGGTAAATTCATCGGGGGTTTCAATATTCGGGTTTTTGAGTTGTGATGTGGAGTATAAAACTGAGATGTGTGAATTAGTATCGGAATTCATGCCTGATGTTACATTACTGGTTGGGAAATCGGGTGGCGGGAAAGCAAAAAGTGGTATTATTGTAATGGGAGTAGTGAGGTTGGTTGGGTGGGAATTTGAACGGTGTGGGGATCCAAGTTGTCGGCTCATCGTGGGCTAAAAAAATTATTATTTTGAGACTGAAAAGCGGTGGTATGGGGTTGTTCTATAATTTGTTCATAAGTATTGTCATCTTGTGAGTGGTGTGGCATTATATGTTGGATGGGACTTTGTGATATAGTTGGTCTAAAATTTTGATTATGTGTTATGGCTAAATTTCGAAAATTACG